TTCTTGGATGCCCCTGGTTCACCTAAAATTCTATTGCTTTCAGGTCTAGAATAAAGACTGTGTTGGAGCACAATGTATATTGACAGTCACTGGCAGCACTGGTGATGGTATACAGGAATGTTTATCTCAAATGGAAAATGGATTCTCTTGGGCCCCAGTACTATTGGTGGGAGCCCTAGAAATGTCAAATTTCCTACACGTTCATAACATCGAGGTAGATTCGCTCGAAGGCAGAGATAGGGTCCAGAGTAACTTAGACAAATTGGAGGATTGGGCCAAAAGAAATATGATGAGGTTAAACAAGGACAAGTGCAGAGTCCTGCACTTGGGGCGGAAGAATCCCAAGCATTGTTACAAGGTCTTGTGCAAGAGCACTTCCACACTTCCATGTACTTTCGCGCAAAAGTTTTCATGGCAGTGTGGACACTTTCTTGTGCAAGAGAGCTCTGATGGCCATTTTAGCCATAGGGGGTTCTTGCTCAAGAAACCCCTGTTGTCCATCCACACTGCCTTCTTACGCAAGAGCTCTTGCACAAGAGGGGAGAGGAATAACTCTTGCGGAAGAAGCCCTTTCTTCTGATGTTTTACTATAAATTTACTTGCTCAAGAAAATGCGTGCAGTGTAGATGCTCCACAAGTTTTTTTTAAACTCTTAAATTCCAAAAAGCCTGCAGTGTAGAGGTAGCCTCTTTGTTTCAAAACTATTTTAAACCAGACCTACTCTGGTGTGACATCAGTGATTCAATATTTGCCCTCAGTGAGGCAAATGTCCACTCCAGTCCAGTGGTAAAAATTAATAGAAGATGTGTGGCTAACTTTCCTGTACTTGTTTGAACACTCTGTGTGTGAGATAATATATGGTAGAGCCAAACCTACTACCCTATTGATTGTTGGGGGCCATTTTACACATTTGTATGGAGTAATATACACTGGTAGCATTCAAATGAGAATGGTTCCCTTGGCTGGCACTTTATAACTACAGCTGCATTTTCTTCATTATAAAACATGACACATGCATCATTTATAACCCTACAGCTGAATCCGATGTGAAGGTGCTCATTTGCTCAGAGAGGCTTGGAAGACTGATCAAACAACTGCTTTGGGAAAGTGAGTTTTACAGTAGTATTGGGGAGAGTGTGTGAGCCCTGAAAAAGCATGTCCAAAAGGAGTCAAGTAAATGAGTCGTTAGGCTCACTCTGGAATTTTATCTAACTTTAAGTAAATCTAAATTGTCTAGTAGAAATCTCAGATGCTGCAATTCCTGCCTCCTCACCTTTTTTTTCCACCCTCCTACTCCAAATGCACATTAAACAATCTCACTTTCTGGTCCTATTCACACTAAAGAACTTTATGCCAGCATAGCTGCATTGAAACAGTTGAAATAGTGCAGCTGAATTAATGCAAACTCTTAAATTCCATTGTTATCAAGCAGGCCTAAAATAGGGTTTGCCCCAATGTAGCTATCTCTGAATTGGGGTCACTAAGAGCCTGATCCATTACTTCATTGTTCCAATTTTACATCTGTGACACTGTTGATTTCAGTGGCATTACACTGATATAAAACTGGAATAGCATAATTATAAATTGGACCCTCAGAATCCAAGATCATGTTTATTGGCATCCCTCACACAACACAGTTCCAGAAGAAAGGCATGTAACAAGACAAGCAAGTGACAAGAGAGTGTAAGAATGCATGCATTACAGTCAGCCGTTCTCTGCTTTAATTTATATCCCCCATCTCTTTGGCATGTAAGTTACTCCCTTACAGTCACATTCCATTATGTGGATGTAAATTATATCTGAGAGAGTCTGCATCTAGGAAAATGAGAGGCTATGGGAATGGAGTTGACATCACCTTAAGCAACAAAACTGATTTTGTCCCATTGTCATTTCCTCCACCCCTTTTCCTTTACTAACCATTAGAATAGTTTTTGCTTGAATTTAGTACTTGGGATAGTGACGGCATTGTAGCCTTAGCTAGAGTATGGCATGAGGTAGACTAGAGCGGTGCAGGTTTCCTCCATGCAGTCTTGCCAATGGACAACAATCCTGATTGTTGCTGTATCCTCTGCTATTTTTGGGTCCTTCCTTGTAAATCTGCTACTCTATGTATATCTGAGTGGGCTTCTTGTCTCATTTATGCCAATTTTACCCCAGTGTGAATCCACTTGCTTCACTGAAGTTACCCCTCTCTTCTAAATGTGTAAATGAGAGCTGAATTAGAGCCAGGGTCTATCTCTAATGGTTCCCTCACTGGTTTCTAGGCACCAAATAGAAAACTGAGAAGCAGACACATTTTTGCATCACTTCTTGATCATGTTAGAATCCACACCCCACTATTTCTTTTCTCTGTCCTGATACATAGCAACCACCTGATATGTCAATCCTGTATGCGCTCAGTGCCCCTCAGCCTTGACCGGAAGGGTGGTGTTGGACCTTCCTGAAGCTCTGACAATATATCTCATTTTTCTTTAGCTGTATGCCCCAGGGTGTTTCCAATCAGGGTATTTTTGAAGTAGATACTTCCACGGATGGCAGCCTGAGTATATTTAGTTACGCTGAGCAACTATCAAATACCATTTGCTTCACGAATGGGTACTCTCTAAGACAGGGGTTCTCAAGCTTGTGATACTGCGACCCCCCTCGCAGTTTCTTGGGACCCCCCCTCTCCATTGCTGCAACCAGCCTCTCAGTTGCTCGCGACCCCCTAGGGGGTCGGGACCCACAGTTTGAGAAACGCTGCTCTAAGACATTTTCTACCCACATGCACCCTGACTGATGTGTCTTATTATTTATTTGTATTGTGGGAGTGCCTAGGAACCTCAATCATAGACTAGGGCCCCAGGGTGCTGAACAAACAGAGCAAAAAAGATGGTCTCTATCTCAAAGAGCTCACGCTCTCAGTGTTTTAGTTCATTGTGCTGTAAATGAGTGATGCCCATGAATTAAAGTAGTAAAATGTTCCTTCAGTGAATATGCCCATTCCCTGTTTTATGCATCTGAGGAATGCAGCACACATCCCCACAGGGCTGATGCTTAGCTGAGCTACTTGCTAGCATATGCCCATGCACGCAGCAGAGGGGAAAAAAAGTACAGAACAACCATTTAATAGTGTTCTGTCATAAAGTTGCTCCTGTCTGTTTATTTGACTTAAAAAAAACCTGGCCCTTCTAACAAATGGAACTTGACTACAAAAATGTAATGACATTTATTCTCACAGCTGCCAGCAAACTCACATGCACCATGAGTCATTCCAGATGCGGATAAAAACAAAGTGTGCCTCTGAAAGCAAGATTCCTGATCCCAAGGAGAGTTGATTTAGAAGAGGCGCTACTACACTGACTTCAATTGCATTCAGGAAAACAGACAGGTTCTTCCTTTGGAGTGGGAAGGTAGTTGAAAAAACAAATAGCTAATATACAGCTATAGAAAGGATTTTTATAATAAAGGATGTGCCAGAAGACTTTGCTACTGCTGCTTTTCTGTTACAATGCTTATGCGACTGTGAGCCCAAGGTGGAGCAGAGGTAAGATTTAAATATATAAAAGAAATTATGGAAAAACACTGAAATTGCCGAATAGTTCTGACATTACAACACTTTTTTTTTCATTTGCCACCCCCAGCTCTTGATTTTTTTCCCATTCTCAGAAGGTTAATTTTTCTTAAAAAAAAAAAAGAATCTCATCACTTTCTTTCCCACCTTTCTAGTAAAATAAAATTAGCAGCAGTTTTTTTTCAGAGCATAAAATACAGAAGAAAAACCTTTCCAGCCACAAGGGCCATGATTTTCTCTTTTCTCCTGGGCAGGTGTTTGGGGTTTAAAAATAAGATGCTACATGAGGCAAAAATTAAAATACCCGCAGGACAGAGGGAGCCGAAGTAAAAGGAATTCTAAATCTGGGGGACTAGCATGTTTTATATATGGAAAGCTGTCTGTATGAAGATACATTTCATTATTGCCTATGCATATTTATCACTTTTTCCCCCAGTGACTTACAAAGTAAATGTGTATCCAGCCAATTCAGGATTTACCCCAAGTGGCCCCCATCCAATATCTTTATTAATTATTTTATTTTTTAACTTTCTCCTTTTCTTTATTCTCTCCACTGGAATTTGGCTGTGGTTCAGTGGCTGCTTCAGTAGCACTGTCTGGAAGGAGAAAAGGAAACACCTCCCAGCAGAATTTTCTGGGATTGAACCTAAATCCACAGACTTCTTAAGGGAACTTTGGCATCAATGAAGTGCAAGTTAAATTTATTATTCAGCCCCCACTTCCTCCCTCTGTGGGCTTGATTCCTTTCTAACTGAGTCTGTGTTTTGTAATAAGGGTTGAAATTTTTAAAGGGGCATCAGGGAGTGAAGTTGAATGAGATTTTAACTCTTCTCTAGGAGGCAATGATGCCTAGTGCATTGGGCTGAGACCCAAAGATGAGGGCTCTATTCCCAGCTCTGTCACTGGCTAAGACTAAAAGGTACATCTGCACTGCATGGCTATTTCGGGATACCGGAGGTATTCTGAAATAACTACTGTACCCCTAATCTACACAAGCCGCCTTATTTTTTGAAATAACAGGCCCGGTATTTTGCCATCCTGGTAAACATCATTGCAAGGTTAAGGGAGGGCTCGAAATAGCATGTTCTTTTGAAATTTGGCACTGTGTAGATGTAGATAAGAATAGAGTGTTGGGCCTTACAGCTTGCCCTAAAGGCCAACAGATTTGGGTTCTCTCAGACCAGTGGGGGAGGCCAGTTTCAGTCAGGGGCCTTCCAGTGAGTACATCCTGACCTCAGTCCTAGATGGTTAAACCTGGAGACTGCTCGTTTGAGCATCACTGGCTGTTAATCTCAACTTCCATGACTGTGAATGGGGATGAGAGGAGAAGCTATCTCAGATGGCCAGGACCCGAACCATTTGGCAAAGCCAGCAACCTGCATGGCAGCTGGAAGTGAACAAAAGGATGGAGCATTCTCGTTGGGGTTAATACCTCTTCACAGAGAAGCAAGCACTTTCCAGCATCTCCTATAGCTTTCTAGCAGTCTTCCAGGGTGCCCCATGTTGGAGCCTACTACACAGTCCAGCCTCAAAGTGACAAAACTTTGACTGACAGTGGCAAGATCTTGAGATGAGAATGAAATAGTTGCAACCCGATGTAGACAGGGGAAGGAAAAGCCCCTTTGGCTACCAACTTCTCTGTGTGTGTCTAAGAGCATCTCAGAATCCAAAGGCTGCCCTAAAGTAATCTCTTGAAAATGCAAAGGGAAATTTGTATCAGTAATGAAGAGAGGACATAGCCTTATACTTCCCTCAATCCACCTTCTCCCCTGTCTTGTCTAGCTTAAGCCACAGCCAGCTAACTCTCATCCAAGTCCTGGACGAAGCTTGGCACTGAGAATGCAAAGGCAGCACAGCATCTGGAGCTCATGAAAATGGAAAGCTGCATGTCATCTACATACTGACCAGTAGCACAAATTGTTTAAAGCAAAGATTCCCTTGCAAAGCAAAACATCCTTCATTCATTAATAGTTGATATCCATGGTAAAGATTAACATTGGAGGTTTGGGTAAAACGGGACCTGCATCAAAATTCCACTGTCAAGGATTTGTCCCTTCTCTGTTCTGAGATAGAGATGGGCTAAAATTAGAGACATTGAGTTAAATCTCTGAACTTTGAGAAATTGTAGCATGGAGGCTAGGGTCTGAAAGACACTGTCATGGAGGACTGGGCCTTTGGTGCATATATACATCCAAATGAACTTGGTACAACCTCTAACTTCTTTAAAATAGGGTGCTATAGTCACAAGCATTTGACTAGGAGTGAGCACAGGGCCTGCAGGTTCCCAGATATCAATCCTTCTGCCCCTGGAACAGGTCAAAAGCTAGGAGAGACTCGGGGAAGCCTTAGGGTGGGTTTCTCCATAGTTGTCAGGAATGGCTGCCAAAGGGAGATAGCATCTGGTCTCCCTTCTCAGCTGGGTAAGACCTGGGAGGCTAGTACTCAGAATCTTGAATGTATTTGCTCTTGTTTCGGAGCTCTTGTTGTCAAATAAAGCCAGACCTGCTGAGGAAAGGCTCTTGGTCTGAGTGGTGGTTGGGGGCTTTTATTCTACTTCCTTCTCCTGGTAAGTTTGATTACTGGTTTGTGTGCACCATTCGTAGTCCAAAAAAAAAGAAGACAAGGAGCTTTCTCTCTTCTTAGGCTTGACATTAGGAAAAACTTCCTAACTGTCAGGGTGGTTAAACACTGGAATAAATTGCCTAGGGTGGTTGTGCAATCTCCAGCACTGGAGATATTTAAGAGCAGGTTGGATAGATTTCTATCAGAGATGACTTAGATGGTGCTTGGTCCTGCCGTGAATGCAGAGAACTGGGCTTGATGACCTCTCGAGGTCCCTTCCAGTTCTGGTATTCTATGATTCTTGCTCATTCATATTCTACAGCAATATTTGGAGTGCCATGTGGAATGTCAGAAGCATTCTGTCTCATCTGCCTGCCCAAAGCCAAATGTGAAGTGGGGAGCATTACAACAGAGGACAAAGATAGAATAGTTGTAGCTGAGGCACGTTGCTTTTCCACATCTGAAGTTTTCTACAGACTCAGTTCCACTGCTTGGAATTTCTGATTTCACTTTGGAGAAACAGCAAGATAGCAACAGGTCTTGTGGAGCAAATGTAATCCATATAGAATGCCTCTACCCCCTTTCCCTCCCCCCAAGGTACAAATGAGAGGTATGATTATTACAGAAGAGCTTGAACCAGAACTCTAGATCTGCATAGATGTGTGAAGTGTCCAACTTCAGGTAACTTTGAAACCACGGACAGACCAGACTGTTCTTTTGGGTTTAGATTTAAATTTAATATACTATAAACCATTATAAATCTGGACAAACTCCACTGACTTCAATATTACTGAATTTAGCCCAATATCTGAATTCTTGAAATTGCTTGGTTTTATAGTAGAAACTCTAAAGCCAGTCTAGTTAGCATGTCTCAGTTCAGCTGGATATATTTTAAGAGCTTCCTGATCAGCCAGTGAGGTGGGTTGATAGGGTGGTTCTTTGGGTGGGGAAGATGCAATTTGATTCCTCCAAGGTGAGCTTCCTTGGGCAGTGAGGAAGCAATTATGTCTGTAATTTCATCCACCATTGAAGGCTGGGGAAGAAGGAATGGGAAGTGTAAGGTTGGAGGAAGGTCAAGGTTTTCTCACTTGTTCCCCACACACTGCTACACATCTCTACTCCCAGTTGTTGCAAAAATGGATCTTCTGTAATTCCATAAAGCTACAGATGTATTCATTCTCTTGATACATTCCTTGTTTGTCCCTGGGGAGAAAGAATGCCCATCTGCCTGGATTTCCCCAGAGCAGGCCTAATTCTTTGTGTTTCATCTATTGTTCTGGCAATAACGGTATTGAACCTGAGTGAATAGTCATTGCTCAAGTCACTAGCATGCTGCGATACATGCTGCCTCAGCTTCAGAAAGCTGGTAGCTTTCTTTAGCCAAGTGAGAGAGGGAAGCATGTCCATGCCCAGCCAGTCATTTCACACTGGAGGTACAGTTTAATTCTTTGTCTGATGCATGACAAGAAGCCCGTGCCAGGCACATGATGATCCTGCCACATGCACTTTCCAAGTAATCCTGGCAAGGGAACAAGGTGAATCACCAAAACTTTTTATTTCACTTTCCTCTTTCCTGCCCTGCCCCATCTTGCAAACTAAACCTTCCTCACCACAATTCTGCAGCAGCCTCTAGGGTTCTAGTGCTAACAGTATCACTACCTTATCTCTTCTGGCTTGCATGGTGCAAGTGTCAAGAATTTGGCTTGACTGCAGCATGTAATTACCACACAAATGGACATACACGCCCAGCAGCCCCTTGTGTACTGGGTCATCACTTTGGCTTGTGTAGAACATGATGAGGAGCATAACGGTCTGGCTCATGAATAAAAAACAAATTACACCAGCTGGCTTTGGAACAAGAGCTTTTAAAATGTAGTGTCCTTTTCACTTGCTGTGATTTCCATAGAGTAGTTATTATCCGATTCATGAAAAATGTACATAAAACTATGAGGATTTGAAATATTATGCAACTTGGCCTGTTCTCTATGCTCGTGTGCAAAGTTTGCTCCATCTTTCACTTGAAAGGAAAGATTTTCCTTTTATCTGGTTTCCCTGATTGCTTTAAAGAGTCCCTGGAACCCATATTATTTTGCTTGTTTGACACTGTTAGGCTACATTTTTCTCTAGTGTAACCCCACTGAGCTCTGTGGAGTTATGCCAGCAGAATGTTTGGCCAGTTATATTTGTGGTTCCCACCTATTTTGAATTTCATGGGTCTATACCATTTCTCAGAGGTCTATGCTTGTAATAAATATCTGAAATCTCATTTACAGTTAATTCATTAATAGTGACAATATCATTTAAAACCAAAAACAAAACCCCTCACTGATGTGACCCTGGAGGAGAAAGACCCTGCTCACATTCCCCTCGTACACCAGAGCCTGGGGGGACGGGGAGGGGACAGGCTAGTA